TTCTGTTCTCTCATTTTTCTATTCACCATTTTGTTTTGTCAGCGTAGTAGTTATATAAACATTACAGTTTACTTAAGATATTTTCAAAGTTTTCGACTTGATGCTTTTCCCTCTCGTGTGAGAAGTGCCGAGACAGCCAAATATGTCTTTGTCAGTGTGGTACTGAAGTAATTAACACTAAATAAAAACTGAAAACTGAAAGTAAAATTCACTAATTAACTGCTTTTCATTTCTGAATATCCCTGCTGATCTAATTTTTATTCTGCAGACATCTTGTTAAGGAAAAATATCTCTTCTACATAAAAAAAGAAAAGCAATCCAGAAGATGCCTTAGTTAGAGTCCCGGCGAGCGCCGACCGAAGGGTGGCGAGAGCATTGTGTTCGATTTATAAGTCACCAAAGGGCGTTCGCTTGCGCAGATCCACCTTAATAAAGTCAAGGGACCGAGCGAGTGGAGACGAGCGTTACCTGGTTCTTATTCTCATTTTATGTTAAACGAAACATGTAAAAAACAATGTCCGTATACATTGTATATAATGGACACTCATGACAAGAAGTGTATTAAACCCTTTTTATTTTCTTGATCACATTTATTCATCACAGAGGCACAAGTCTATAATGAACGACAGAAATTTCCACTCTCAGTCCTACCGTTATTCAGTCTTAGTGTATCCTAACTACAGACAACCATTTTGCAAGACCCTGGACTAAAGTGAAGGGAGCTTAAATTCTACTTAAGTCGTTGACTTAAGTGGAAAACTAAGTTGACGTTAAGTCACACTTAAGTAAAACTTAAGTTTTGCCATAACTGCGTTTTATAAAGCGTAACTTAAATGTGACTTAGCACTTAAGTATATTTAGTGTTAGGTAAATGCGTTACCATGATAGATTTAACCAGTAGAGAGTAGAAAAAATGTGAGGACTGAGTGCTTCTTATCGTGGTTTCTAAGTATTTCAATGACACTGTCAGAAAAGTGAAGTGACTGAATGGCTGAATAAGACGGTTCAAATGACTGATTTCATTTTAGCAAAGATTTTTGTGGATGAAACGACTGACTCAATCGTATTAGGGAAAATACGGTATATGTAGCGTGAATGAACTTGCACATTTCCCACGAGCACAACAAAGCGCTGTAAAGCAGAGCTTCTATTAGTCCTCTAGTTTTCTTTACAAAAAGAATTGTATTTCATTAACTGGCAAAGTAAAAAATGATGGTTCACAGTGCAGTTTAGAACGATGAACTAGTTCTAGGCCGCTTGTAGTTGAAAAACTCTTCTAAGTTTAAGCGGAAGCGCGGTGTTTGGACAGACAAGCAACAAAATTACTTTTTATAGCTGTTAAATGAAGATAGTCATAGTCAACTGCTTTTTTCTGCGCATAAACGAAGATGAAGTCGGCTGTCTTTTTTTCTGCTTGTCAGAAACATAGACTGCTCGGTTTGGTTGAGCGTCAGTGCAGCTATGCAGGTCCATATGAACAAAGTCACATTTTCACTGAGATATTTGCTGCAAAGCAAGTTAATTTGAGTAGCACGAACTATCTGCGGCTCAATCAGATGTAATAAATAAATAATAGCCGCTTTTTGGAAATCTGTATCGTGCCAAAATCATACCATCTGCCATAGTTTCCAAAGGATTTTGTCTATCTTTACATATTCGTTCCCTTCCCAATGTTCTTGCCACTGAAAGGGCTGCGATTGCCATTTTTAAGTACTTTTACTTTGCATACTTTTATAAATAATCAAACGCTTCTAGAAAATTAAGTCAAATTTATTGACTTAAGTTAAGCAAGAAACTAAGTATAACTTAAGTCAAAAATCACACTTAAGTTTTTTATAAAACACGATTTTGTATCTTTTTCGACTTAAGTCATGTTTACACTAAAGTCAGACTTAAGTTTTTTATAAAAGTGGCTCCAGGAGCCAGTTTCATCAAAAAACTTAAGTCAAAAAAGACAAAGAACTTTTTTGACTTAAGTGTTTTGATCAAACTGGCTCCTGAACGCAAAAAGATTTTGTAATACCCTAGAGTAAAGTCAAGGGAAAAGCAATCAACGTTAAATTCATTCGATTTTAATTCTAAGCGATAGATAGGGAACTTGGACTAATTTTGTAGTAAGATGCAAAGGATGAAAAAGGCTAGATTTAGCAAGTCATTGGATTATAATATGTCGTTTCAAAAGGCTTCTGTTAGTGTTCGAATGATTATTGTTATCCGTGCTTGTTGTTTACTTTCAGCTGCAAATAACAGTTCCAATAAGCCACGGTTAACGCCAGCGTTTTTAATGATTAGTGGGTAAGCTTTGTTTTTGATGAATCAGAGTGGGTACGAACAAAGGATTTCCTTTGCTCTCGACGACAAAGTGGGTTTCATTACGAGCCATTGCACGTTGCATACAGAGGAATCTACAGATATGCACATGTACGTAAACAGCTTTAACAATGTATATTGATATACTACAGACAGAGAAATTCATTACGACGATTTCCATAAAAAGATAATGAGCGACAACTGCCGAGATTCTGTTACGAATTATCCTTAGCGAAGGCTACTTAAAATTCATAGTTAGAAAAATGCATGATAAAATGATTTTGAGCAGACACTTCGTTTTATTCTAATGTTTTCCACTTATCCCGCCTTTTAGGATGTTGACATCGTGAATTTCTGTTTTTTCAGAAAAGAAATGTGTTGTCTTGTAGCTTGGTCTCCCATCCGCTTAGCAGCCGGCAACTGTAATCGTTGATCAGGAATTTCTGGGTTGAACATTTTTTCAGGATTTGTTCGAGTCGAAGAAAAAGACTCGTTCCGGTTCGGGTCAACTTTAATGGATCCGAGTCAGTCTCTGATAAGTCACTACCTCCGGTACCCAACACCCTTTGTCAAACGCAAGTGTGCAGCAGCTTTTCGGAGAAATAAAGAATATAAACTTTTAGAGTTTATTTTCTAAATGTCTAATGCCGTCACATATGGATTAAATTCATTTGATAAATCGTTTAACAATGTCAGACCATTGAAACCATCAATTTTAAATGTTGTATCTGTTGGTATCTTATGCTGTTTGTTTCTCTTCATCAGCCTCATTGGTTGCTTTCATTTAGAACGTTATTTGAATGCCTATGGGAGAAGTAATAAAGAATGGAAGATAATTCCTGTTCTGATAAATCCAAATATATAACACTTTAGACCAGTGTTTTCCAGATTGCACAATTAAAGCACACACATGATGCAAAGCATATTAGTTTCAAATGTAATTGATACTACTGTCCCTAAGGTTGACTCGTCTCTAACTCATGAAAATATTAGGCAACAAATATCAAAATATTTAAAATCTTAACTCTATCCAGGTACCGAAGATCAAAAGAATGAAATGATTAAATCTCAAAATCATTTAATAGATAGTGTGAAGAAGATTAATGTACTAGGTGAAAATCAACACGACTTATGATGTCTTACTTCTATTCAAGCCCGAAGATTCAAATACTAGTGCCAATAAGACATGGTTAATGCAATTACCATATACTGTGCCTGCAGCTAATGTTTCGCGCTAAAGAAGATAGCGGCTCTGGGAACTACTACATGTGTCAATTGAAGTTGGCATGTATTCTGAAAGTGCTAAGCGTCTAGGAAAAGAACGAAAGGACTGTTGGAATAGCAAACGAAACGCAAGCGAATATTGAGCTATACTTAACCTTTGCTTAAAATGTAATTCACTTGTAATTCACTTATATTGATAGAACACTCAGATGTTTTTATTTTTGTTTTGTTATTCTCAGCTCGTTATTTGTTCTCTATACGTGTTATTTTGTGTGTGAAACGTGTTATTTTGTGTGTGAAATCGTGAATAAATTAGGCAAATATCTCAGCAGTGCCGTGTCGTATCACCTCCGAACATACTAATACGCATAAAGACCTACAATACAATATTAAATCCGAAAAAAAATCCTCTTTTTTTGACACTAATCCTCTTAAAAAAAAATTTAGAGCATCCTCTTATGTCCTCTTTTTTTCAAAATGACCGTTCACAAGCCAGATAACCGGTTACACGGACATTTGTTAAAAACGGGACTAGTCATGACGACCGCAAGAGACATTCCAGACGAGTCCTGAGAGCATATACGGACGTTTCGGACTCGCGATCCGAATTGGCACAAAAAAGTTTATTAGTCTTTTATGTTTTAAGTTTATTATCATTAAGACAGTCTAGAAAATAACAGTCCAGAATAGAAAAATGTAACAGTCACGCAGTTCTATACTACATATTTTTCTATTTTAAATTTTTAGCGTTTTCGTTCTCTCTTGTTTCAATTAGTATATATAATCATCTCTCGTCTAAATTCGACAGTCATGTTAGCCTGATGATGATAGTATGAGGTATCGAAAGCTCGCTTTTTATGTAAAATGATTTTAGAAAATGTTTTTCAATTATATTCAATATACTTAGTTTTATAAAAACGTAAAAAATGTTAATGTTAAAACGTAATGTTAATGTATATGAAGCGTTAATGTAAACTTCTTTTTGTATTAATTTTCGCAAGTGTATTGTGTTTTTCTTCACTAATATAATACGTCTTCTCGATATATACGTTTCGTCAATGTTAGGTCTTCCGATGACTAGAAATCTAAATGAAGGATGCTGGAAAATTTACTGCTTTTCATGTACCGTTAGATGTAACTCTACGCTTTCCTTGAAGGCTTTCGTGGTAAACTGGATTGTGCGAGTGTCGATTTTATGTTGTCTGAGTTTCTTCTTGAATACGAAGACTACTTCAAAAAAGAATTATTTTTCCTCATTTCAGATTGCACAATAATCGTACACACATGATGCAAAACATATCAATTTCAAATTTAATTGATACTACTATGGCAAACATTGACTGGTCCCAGTCTCATGAAGATATTAAGAAAAACATATCAAATGATTTAAGATCTCAACTCTTTTCAATCAGGGAAGATGAAAAAAATGAATTGATTAAGTGTCAAACTCATTTAATAAGTAGCCAAAATGATTTAATAGCTAGTATGAAGAAGATTAACGTGATAGAAGAAAGTCAACGTCGACTCATTATGTCTTATAATGGTTCGATTCAAGCCGGTACATTTGCCATCGCACGTGCGCTGATTGAAGGGCGATTAATACAAGTGGAGCAGGACCTGTATTATTCTTTCGAAGCATTACGGGGATATTATACGGCGGACTCTATGACATTGGATCAACCTTCGAATGATCCGAAAATATTTCTTCGTCAACTTCAACAATCAGATCTATACCACAGAGCTGATATGCAACGAGGTATTCTCTCTTTGCAACATTTAATTGAGTTATCGGATAGAAGAGGGGAAAAGAAGAAAAATATGTTATTGGGATTTATTCGTGATGATATTCAATATTATTTTGTATCATTAGATGGTGAAGGACAAAATGGAATTAGTGCTACAGTCGATCAAATAAAAGAAGCATTTTCAAGCATTTATGATAAGTTATCCACTGTAACTCATGCATCCAGTATTTACCGTGGGGAAGCGCTGCCTGTGCCAGCCTGTATTCCTGGAAAATGGGAGCAAGAAGATGCATTGGCTTTAGGAAATTTCTATAAATTTTCGTTTCCTGAAGTTAAATATCAATTGGTTTACTCATTGACATTGACACCACCAGCGAGTGAATAGGTTTAATCGACTTAGAAATAAATGATGCATTCTCTCAAAACAGGAAAGATTAATTTGAAGATGTTTTTGTCTCAATTTTATTTTGTCAGATGATCAAATTTTGTTTTGTATCTTCATTTTCTCAAGTATATTGTGTTTTTCTTCACTAATAAATATTTGGTAGTATCACAGAAAAACGTTGTGATACGTCACATCCAAAGAGATCGATTTCTTTACCTCCGCACATCCTTATAAGCCAAACGATAACAATAAGAAATTAAAGACCAGTACGTCTTCCTCATATGTGCGTTTCATCGATGCAATTAGTATGTAGCATCTAACCTCGAAGCTAATGTTTTGAGCTGCAACAAGATAGCGGCTCTGGGAACTACTATAATTTTAAGAACAAATGGGGCCTTGGTGTCCTAATACTAGAAATACTAGCCCCGACCTCCACAAATCCATAGGTCAACAGAGTTCATCGGTTATGAGATACAGCCAATTTATCGTTAACCACGCCACTTTATATATCATTCGATAGAAAATTTAACGGGCTACAAAATGATATATATAATATTGAGA